TGGGTGGTTTGTTCTTAAAAGCAAGGATCCTCCGGTTCATGTTAAAGATCTCCGCAAGCTGCTTTCGGTATGCTTCTCTTGAAGGTGAACTGGCCGGAATCTCTTTAGCTTTACATCCTTCGGTCACCATAAAATGTGCATAGTCAAAATCCATTGCAGATCTATTAGGAATGAACCTGTCCCACTACATAAAAGCAACCCAAAAGAATTCAGTAAGTCAATTATAACCCAAAAGAATTCAGTAACTCAAATTGAAGGTTTCAAATGGTAACCATATCCTCGATGAACTTATCATCCAACAACCCAAATAATAAGGTTACTTAATGAATTTCAGAACTAGATACATAAAACCACAGTTACAATGAAATTTAGATCGACTGCCCAGATGGAAGAACAGAGACCTTTTTCATGGGATATAGACTAGTTTGCAACAAATGTCTAGATGAAATTTACATCAATTCACGCAGGGTAGAGATGACATACATTTTCATGGGAGCTTTTTCTCTGACGATACTGCTCCTGATGAGGAAAACGACTGATCCAGTCATGTTCGATGCCATAGAGTTTCTTAATCCTGCATCCATCACGTTAATAACACACAAACAAAAAGAAGCGAAAAACAACAGCTGTAAACAGAAATATATATTCGGAAAGAAAAGGGCCTGCAAAAACAATATTAGACCGTTAAGGGATCAACAAAATTAATCAAAATTGAATGTAGAATAAAGAACGACAGAGATTCAAAGTATCAAGATCGAAGATCGAGAGCCTTTGGGAGATCGATTGAGAACAGATTCAATGAAGCGAGCGAGAGCGAGAGAGAGCAGAGAATGGAAGGGGATTGAGAATGGTTCGCTTCAAACTGTTCTAGGGTTTTATTGACGCCGTTTGGCAAAAAAGAGTCGTTGTAATTTGCTTGGACTAAAATGCCCATCCGAGTCAGGGGGGTTCCAGCAACTCTATGATTTGGGAAAGGAGCTCTTAATTACGCTCATTTAATTATTAATTACACAATATAAAAACTATAAACTAGTAATAAATATCATAATCATCTTGCTAAACCAGAGCCTTCCTGTCACGTTTGCTACGCCGTATGTGCACCTCATTTTCAGCCATATCTTCATCCTCCACTACTCTACTGTCAGCCCACTTGCATCACTATCGTTTTAGCCATAGCATTATCTGAACTAGCGATCGAGCAAAGGTCAGAAGCAAATAGGATATAAGAGATGGACCAGTTCTGTTAGAAGTAAATGATTTGGTGTAACTGGAATCAAAGATTGATCAATGTATCCCAAGTTTTGTTGGAAATAAATGGTTGATTTACCTCATCAGAGATAGACCAATATCCTAAGCATTCCATCCCCTCCCCTTCCCATTCAACTTTCACTTTTGAGAAGTGCCAAACAAATGCTTGAACCCCTTGTCTTGAAAGCCTCCAATAGCACTAAAACAATTAGAAACACAGAATGTATAACATAATATAGTGAGAATGCTCCAATATATAAAACCAGGAATGACCAAAGTAATCTGTAAAATATTGAATGCCACAATGCATGGGCACTCACTGTGAAAAAGTAAGATCTTGAAAAAGTAATGGAGGAATCTATACCCGAGATTACATCAAGCATATAGTAAATCGGGCATCAACGGATTCGGTTAACATGAGCGAACAGCTCCAGGTTAGACTTGGGAACCTGTTTTTTGACTTCAGGGGTTCCAAAAACATTCCAGAATCTTAGTATTTCATCACCTGCAGCAGATGCAACAGTGCAACCATCTGGGCTCTGCACAACAAATATGATTGTGAGTATACTAATCATTTACCACGCACAGCCTCAGAAATCTTTTGATATTAATTTTGTGAGAAAAAGAAGAAAGATAGTTAAACCTGAGCCATAAAAAGAACTCGAGAGGTATGTCCCATAAGCTCTGCCATTTTAACCATTGATGGGTATTTCCAGAGCTGATTCTTAGTAAACCCATGAGAGCTAAGCAACTCGCGCTGACTCTTGTTCCACAGCAATGATTATAAGAGTTAAAAAGAAATTTTGAATAGCATGAAAACACTCATTGGTCTGAAGAGTTACTCTTTAAATTCTCACTTCCTTTTGCAGAAAAATAAGTAATCTTGAGTTGGATTTTCTTTGAGGTAATCAAGATAAAACATACCTTCCAACTGCCAACAGGTTGCCAAATGTGAACAGAAGACCAAACTTGATGGGCTTTGCGAAAACAATAAAACACTGAAAATCGTAATGACTAAATATTAATTAGGAACCACAAGCAATAATTCTAGTTTGGTTATAAACTTTGGAAATTCTTTACCTACTCTGGGAATAATAAAAAAACAAGAGAACTAAGAGCCACTAGGAACCAATTTCATCATCCCTAATACAGTTTCCTATATTTGAAAAACAAAAAGAGCGTAATGGGTTATTACCAAGAACATACAAACTACCCCAGAGACCATACAAGCAGCGAACCCATATACTCTCTGCAAACCAAAACCCAAAAAAAAAAACCCCAAGATGGGGGTTTCCAGTAAGGACTAAATCTTTTAACATGAAAGAGGGAATCGACAAGCTCAAGTGTTGAATGGCTACCTGCAGAGGAGATATAGCGCAGAGACCTTCTTGATTGTCCAAAATGTTATCTTGCTGCTCTTCATCTCCCCCCAAAATGGATTTCGACATTGATATCTTCTTTGCTCGATCCCAGATGCCTTCTTGGTATCACTGTCTCTGATACGAGAGCATTGGAAATGATCTTGATGCCCCCTGGTTTAAATGAAAATAGTTTGAAACCCTAGGTTTGAAGAGATGCGATGGCCAATTGTGGATCCAGAAAGGAGTGGCGGAAAGCTGATTGTAGATGGCTGAACCCTAAGTTTGAAGAGATGCGATGGTGATCGTGATTACAGATGTTTAACTTGATCGCAGATGGGATTAAGTTTCTGCTTTTCTCGTTGGCCAGTGCAGGAAGAAGAAGAAGAACTCTGTGTGTTTCTTTAATTGCCGTATTGGACTTCTTTTAGAACAAAACAAAAAAAAAGAATTGGGCTATTGGATGTGTTTGGTGATTTTATTGGGAATGATGGTACAATACTTGATAATGAACATTATGTTATTTAAAAATGAGTAATATTTTATTTCAAAATGAACATTACATTATTCATAGATAAAAATTATAATTGTATTGAACAAATATATGAAAATAAGTACTACGTTATTTCAGAATGAGTAGTACGTTATTTTAGAATAAGTATCACGCTATTTCAAAGCTAACAGTTATGTTTGTGCGAGAATGAGTACTACTTTACTTTAAAATGAGTACCACCTGGATGTACCTATCTCTAGATACAACCGGTTGTACCATATACCTTCTTCTTTAAACTAGGTCTTCAAATTTTCATTTTTAATATTTTGAATACACATTTTTTAAAATTAAATTAATAAAATTTAATTATTTAATTTTATTCATTAAAAAATTACATTCATGAACAACAAATACATTTATTAATTTAAAAAATTACATTCGTTCATTAAAAAACTTGCATTCGCCCCCTGGTTTAAATGAAAATAATTTGAAGCATGGGCTTTAAACTAGGTCTTCAAATTTTCATTTTTAATATTTTGAATACACATTTTTTAAAATTAAATTAATAAAATTTAATTATTTAATTTTATTCATTAAAAAATTACATTCATGAACTACAAATACATTTATTAATTTAAAAAATTACATTCGTTCATTAAAAAACTTGCATTCATTAACTAAAAAAATTTACATTCATTAAATAAAAAAATTACATTCATTAAATAAAAAAATTACATTCATTAATAAAACAATATATTCATTGAATAAAAAACACGGTGCAATAACGGAAAATGGGGCGGAGGGAGGGGGGTGAGGCTCCAACGGCCAAATTTTGACTTTCAATTTGAGTTAAAAGATTGACGCTTCAAAAATAACACTGCATTAACAGGGTAGGGAGGCGGTGTTTAACGCTCCCCACGCGTAGTGGCCGGTATTACCCACTACCCTGACTACGTGTGCACCCAAAAGTGCACTTACAAAACTATCATCCAACTATTATATTTTGTCAAAAATACCTATTTAATTTTGTTAATAAACTGCTAATATTTTTTTTTGATTTGTCAAAAATACCACTATCTTTCCTTTTAACCTACTATTGCAAGTTAAAATAATAAAAAATTAATAACTGGCATTAAACTAATTTTTTCAAAAGTATTACTTTTTTATTTCCATATATGAGAATTTTTTTATTGATATACTACCTCTGTCCTAGTATATTTGTCTACTTTAACTTTTTAAGTCAAACTGAATGAACTTTAGATCTCAATTAAATAAAAATTATGATATATATTAGTACAAAAATTATTTAATTAGATTTATCTTGTTTAAAACTTTCATAAAATTATTTTTTTGCATTAGTATGGGATACAAATTGGTAGTGACTGATAATTAAAATTTGTCCAGTTTGATTTGCAAAGTCAAACATGACGAATAAACTCAAACGGAAAGGGCATAAGATTATTACTCTTATGTCTTTAAGAAATTAGCTAAAAAATTTCTTTTAAAATTTTATTTTGTCTAGAGTTTTTTTCTTCTTTCTATAAGAGTTTTCTTCACCTTTATTCAATTCTTTCAACTCACTTAGAATGTGTTTACTGGCACTTTAACTTCTACAATACATGAGATATAACTTTTCTCCATTGTATTATAATTAAAGAATTGAAATGATACTTCTGCCTCCTTCGTAGAGAATTCATTTGGTTTGATTCTTAAATAAAATAAAACTGCACAAATTTTGATATCATATAAATAAAATTTGAATCGTATATCTCTACACAAAGTTTCTAAAAGATTATATTACTTATTATGTTAATATTTTATACAATTTTAATGTCTTTAATGATTAAAATTTATTTATTTTGATTCAAAAAAGTCAAACACGAAAAATACTTTGGGAACGTGAGAACATTATCAATCTAGTTTTCATAGTTTTTTAGTCAATTTTTTATTTTGTTTTACAAAATTGAGTTTTTAATAAAATTATTGAAAAGGAAAAACTTTATTGAAAAGAGAATGATAGCCGACTAAAAAATTTAAAAAAACGATTGGTAGAATTTTTAAAATAAAGAACAAAGAGGCATTTTTTACCAAAAAAGAGTTTAGTTGCATTTGTTAATTTCTTTTTTGTTTTAACCAGCACTAACATGATAGTATGTTACCAGGCCAAACAATGACATTTTTGACCGGTAATTAAAAGTTAAGTGGCAATTTATTTTACCAAAAAAAATTGTGGCATTTTTGACAAAATATAATAGCTTAGTGTCAATTTTTTAGACTACACTCGTGCACCCAATGATGAGATATGTTTCGAAGAGTCATGCTTAGAATGCTTACATGTTGCAAGGTTCACAATCGGGAACTTCCACATTTTTTACACACTTTTATAGTTTTATGTATGTGAATATTTTTTTTGTAAAAAACTCATTTCTTTTATGCTACAAATAAACTAGAAGAATTAGCCAGTATTGAAAACCCATCCCCTTAACATTGGAAAGATTAGGACAACCTCCTCCACATCAGTATTTTGAAGGGATAAATTCTATCAACGTCATTCACATCCCTAATTAAGTTTCATTGCATATCCAAAACACAACTTTACATCCATCAATATTTTAGGTGGTATAAATCATGTTTCAAAGTATACAACTCAGCTTATCAGAGATCGTAATGACTTAAAGTCGAAGAATAATTATACTAATGCTTAAATCATGTTTCGAAGAATAATATTAACACTTTAACTTAAACACACATATTATTCTCATAGCGTATCAAATCTAGCAACATATCCAAAATGTTTGCCTACGCATAGATTCAGATAACACTTTATCTATAACCTATGAGACGCAACTATATCATCTCATACGTATTACCTAGTCTTGATATATATATATATATATATATATATATATATATATATATATTATGATGTCCCTATTATCATAATATTTGACTAAAGATATTTTAGACGTAGTCTCTATCTTTGTAACTGTCTTATAATCAGAACGTCGTAGTTCTCATCTATGTTACTAGAGCACCTACTATATGGACTAAATCTATGTTTGAATCACACAAGATGACTTTAACCAATCTTTAGGACATTTTATTCTTAATATCATAGATATGGAATCATAATTTGGTCTCTAGGTCTCACTTATATTCAACATAGTCAACCTCGTGTCGCTCTTTAATTTCACGTCTGACAAATCAACATGGATCATTGGATTGGCTTGCAGTGAAGAAACATCACTCGCAATCACACTTGGATATTAAGAATAATAGGAAATAAATACTCCGTATTATTTTTATTTTTTGGAAATAAATATTATACGAGTATTTATTTCCTATTAAAGAAGTTTTTAAAAATTTATGATTTTAGTTCTATTTTATTAATCTCTTAATATAAAAATGTGAAGAGAAAAGATGAACAGTATTTTTTCCCACCTAGAGTTATGGGTACCGGGTTGGATATTAATTCTCGAGTATCCGAATGTGTAAAGAAGAAAACGAGTCTAATTCGTAAAATGGGTGTTATGGTTGGGCTTTTAATTATTCTTTGGTACCCTTGAAGTAATAAAGGCTAAAAGAGAGACTTATTAAGGCACAAACCAAAAGTACAATGCATTTAATGCACTTATTGGGAGACGAAATTTGACGGCTTGGCCACTCTTTTTACGTATTCCAATGTAAAGACATTATTATTTTCTCACCACTCTTTTCACGTATTCCAACGTAAAGATATCATCTCTTTATGGGAAAGTATAAAGTTTTTTAGAAAGAGTAAAAATTTATGGGAAAGTGTAACTTAAATAAATACTTTATGGGAAAGTATAAAAGTTTATGGAAAAATGTATCTTAAATAAATCCTTTATGGGAAAGTGTAAAACTTTATGAGAAAGAGTTAAAGTTTATGGAAAAATGTAACTTAAATAAATACACTATATGAAAGTGCAAAAGTTTATGGGAAAGATTAAAAATTTATGGGAAAGTGTAATAATTTAAATAAATACTTATGGGAAAGTGTAACATTTTATGGGAAAGAGTAAAAGCATGATATGACTTTACACTGAGAAGCATGTGATTGGGCTTTGATAATGTCGAATGCTTTGGACCTGTTTTCATATATTAAAGAAACACCGCTTTTCTAGGGTTATTTTCAAACTACATCTCATCCTCAAGCTTTGTGTGAGCGCTACTTCAACTGATGCAGATGAAAGAAGCAAGATCGTCAGTTGCCGCTACTCTAATCGACGAAGAAGACTGAACATGACCGAAGTTTGTAGTATGCTTTTTAGAACTCTTTTTTAGATTTTCTCTCATCTTGATGGGGCAATGGCCAAAAGGCACTAAGAATCTGGAGAAGACGCCTATGAACATTATGCGCGAGATGTGCCTTGAATAAGCAAATTAGGGATCCGGACATAGAGATTACGATATTTCTTTAGCTTTTGTCTCAGGTTCCAAATATTTCACCTTGGCTATTTATATTCAAATTTCATTTTATTTTTAATTTTTTTGTTATTTCAAAAGACCAAAGAGGTCCATCGTTAAAGAAATAATAAATCGTGGAGTATTCTAGATCAAGTGTAAGGTAATGTTTTCAAAACATAGTTGCATTACTTTTAAAGTACTTTTTATTCACTCAAATAGATTTTTTGTGAGCAGGATATGGTGATATTATAATCCCATTTTTATGTGAAATTGATTTTTCCCTTCCCATTTGTTAAACTTTTATGTTGCTCTAGGAAATAAACTTTTGTTTAAATTTTTAGGTCTGTTCTAATCTCATCCAATAAAATGAAGAGGTGCATGTAGATGGGAGAAAATTTATGCTCGGTTGATGAGGCAAAGGTATTATATTCGTTCATTCCTATTTGGATTTAACTTACGTATAGAAGCATTTGTTCTTATGTCAAACCCATGGGTTAATAACTTAAATTTTTTTCTCAGAGGTTTGAAGTGTGCTAGATAATCTATAAAAAATTGATTTTAAAAGTATAGTTTTAGTATTGATAAGTATATATGTATCTCATACAATGTGTATACTGAATTTTCTATGTACAAAGACTTTAGTTTTCTCAAGAAAAATAATGCAATTATTGTTATAAGACAAAGTATTGTATATTGCTAGCAAATTTTGTTTGATTTGACATTTTAATTGATTATGTTATTGTACGCTATTTTTTTTAACATTTATTTTAACTTGATTTATAAATATACCCCGTAATATATAAGGAAGTCTTTCAAAACCTTTAATTTTGTTTTTTGTCTTCACTATGCATTCCTCAATATTAGTATATAATACTTTTAATGTATATATTGAATACAATTTCGTTGTGTTGTCTTAACATACACTATAAATTTATTTATTTTTTCTTTCAATGACTCAAAACACTGTCCGTGCAAGGCACCGGTTAGAGAACTAGTATCGCACACTCTTAGTTGGTGAAATAAATTGCTTGCATTAAACCAACTGTTTATATGCAAGTGAAGTATAGTGACCTATCACATTACCCATAATTAAGTATTATTTATCTAGATAATATTTTCACCGTGCATCGTACGAATTAGAATCTAGTCACACGCAAAAATACGCAACACATGTATCTCGTTGACCAGTTTGTGCCGCGCCCAAACATAGTTTTTACCAAAGGGGTCGGTGCACCTAAATAATTAATTCAACGAGGCACAATTGAAGATATGATCACAGGGTCTATTTGGTGAGTTTTGAAGAAATGATACTCCATAATATATGAGTTATGAAATCTAGGAGAAATTATACGTGTTTTGAAATTTAAAACAAATTTGTTTGGAGAAATTTAGAATCTAGTGATAAGCGAGGGTGACCAACAACGATGATGGTTAGTGGCGACAATGGTAGCCGGTGACGGAGAATTATCAATGATTAAGAGAGATGTCAAAGAACCATATTGATATCTTCCAAGTTGAAGAGATACCAAAACTCTCCATTTGAAGGATTTATAATATCTAGAGAAATTGAACTCGATCTTTTTTAGCTTCACCAAACACCTAAAAAGAATTTTTGATATTTGGAAATATCAAAACCCATATCTTGTTTGCTCACAGAACAAACCCTCAAATTTCTAGTGAATTTTTACTAATGTCTTAATTGTTGCTTTAGTACTTAATTCTTCAAAGTGTTTTTTTAATAACTACTCATCCCTTCCCACACGAATAGCTTTCTAAAAATTTTTGAAAACCTGTTTGATAAAAAAAATCCTATTATTCTCGAAAATCAATTTTTTAAGGATATTAAATTCCCAAAACTTTGAAACATAAAAACTTCAAAAATATATTTGAAACATGAATTCATTTAAAATATCTAACAGTTTAAGTAAAACTGGTGTAAAAAAAAGTATTACCTTTTTGTTTAATAAAAATCAGAACATAACTTCAAGAATCATATTTCAACGATTTTATAATTTTATATCAAATGAAATTTATAAAAATAAAAATCTATGAAGAAATTAACAAATTATCTATTCTAACGAAAAAGATACTCCCTACAAATAAACTTTCTTCCTATTTTTATGTTTTATTCATAGCACTAAAATGTTAAATGGATCTCTTAATCCAAATTTGATCTGATACAATTGGATTCGAATTTGGAATTGACTTGAGAGATTGATATAAATCCGCTACCCATTCATTCATAGAAAAAAGAGATTTACAAAAAACCTAAATCCTTGACTTGACCATCCAGGTATAGACAAAATATGCCTCATGCATGTCATGTGCACTGGGGAACAGACTTTCTACAGTGCTACCACAACACAATACAAACTTTCCCCAGCCTCATGCACCATATGGAATTAATGCCTAAGCTGAAGAAAAACTGCAAGATAACATCATGAGACATGGTGCCTTTGGTTTCTGAAAAGTAAAAAGTAGATAGTAGGACAGAGTAACATAGCCAGATTTAGTTGTTCCCAAAATGTCAAACCATTCCGTCTATTAAATGACCTCCTCACCTCTAAATCAAACCCTGCCGTTGCAGATCTGTGTATGTCTTTTTGTTATAGATGTTTCCTTCTTGGTCTTCATACTCTTCCTCAAGATCCGGGCGCCATTTGTTAACTCCTTGCTTCTCCTGGATTCTCTCCCATAGTTGTTTTGCTTCCTGCATTGAATATATATTTTTATATGAGAAGCTACAATATTTGGCTGCTAGAGAGATATATCATCGGGAGGGGGGGGGGACTAAAGTGTTCACTAGCTGTCGGGTCGTGAAGGAATCTCTTGATTTGGGTGTGTTATGCCTAAGGGACAGAATATAAGAAGATACCTCAATAGATGTAATCTCGTTGAAGTTCTTATGTATTTGGGATGCCAAGGCATCACATTCCATGTTGATGCCTCCATTCCTCGAAATGTCGTTCGTAAGCTCTACGACCCCAGTAACTGTGGTTCCCCAGATCTCACACTTGAATTCCTAAAAGGCATAATAAAAAACACAATTAAGAGCACAAAAAACAAGCATTCAAATGAAATAGTAAAGAGTGGGGAGGACCATTCTGGGACACATGTACATGGCTGGTTAACATGGAGGGAAAATAGGTTGAGTAAGTGCTAGTAATCAGGTGAAGGCTGGAGCACCCAACTTGCTACTACTTAGGCTGCATAGCATTTGTCTCCAAATGAAACCCTTTATGCTAAACATAAACTAGGTTATTTTATTCGGCATTCAAAGATAGTCCTGCCCTAATGTGTTATCATCCAATAGTTAATACTATCCGAGCTTTTGAGATAACCCTGGTAATTGAAATGAGAAGCAACCATGCTGACTCTAAGATACCAACAACATTACCCCAATGCCTCAAAGGTTCCCGCCAATTGCGGGGTGGGGGGGGGGGGTCGGATGTACGTAACATGACCCCAATGTTTAAAACATAGAGCGGCGGTTTCCAGATGAACAATGATGAGCATCGAAAGTTGCATTGACTAACAGCTATTTCACTATTAAAAGAAATACAAATAGTTCAAAAGCCATTTTACATTACTCCATCATGCCCCAACGCCAAAAAATTAGTGAATCTTTGGCTGCACCGGAGATTATCGAACATGCTGACTATAAGATAGAAAGTGAAAATTTAGGAATTTATGATGTTACCTGACCAAGCCCATGAAGTTTATATAACCAGTAAGGGATAGGTTTCCCGTCCCATCCCATCGGCAACTTCAAGGGGTTATAAATCTGCTGATCTTCTTCTTCCTAACAGAAATCGACAACAAATTGATGATGCACTTGAAAAAAAAGAGTAAACAAATTACTTGTGCATGTTTCTCAATGAAATGCCATTTTAAGCGCATGATCTATGCTATGCAGAGCATAGCACTGATCAAGCAAGCTATAAACCATCCTACTTCATATTGCAAAATAAAATGAATGACAACAATAGATTAAAAATGATGTGTAATCACTAATCATATGCTCCCTCCGTCCAAAAGAAAAATAAAAATAGAAAACATACTTTTGTCTCAACAAGTCTTATTTGAAAAAAAGGATCTAATATTTAATGTATGTTTTCCTGAAAAGAGTGTCTCAAACAAGATTAAGTATTTTGAATTTAGTAAGACAAATACTATTAGAATTGATAATTTCAAATTGTATCTTTCTTAAATTGAAAATTGTACTTTGGTGAAACATGACTCCTTTGGATAGAGACAGTAGCCGTTTTGAAATCCATAGTTTGTACTCCTGCACGATTCCAATTATAATTTTCCAACAGCAGGGCAATCTATAAGTCTATTGCCAGCGGAGCTAAAAGTCATTTTCACAAAGTTTTAGCTTCAGGTAAAAATGGACTGATCAAAAGTGTTCATTTAATGTCCCCTGCTTCTTAATTTCTATGAAGTTTTGGGAAGTAAATTGCATCAATGTGTCATGGTTCCAACAGAAACAACCTCTCCGCTGCGTTTTTACTGGGGTGAGGTGCTTTATGAATACATTGTTGGTATTTTTGCTAACAGCAGGGTAATCTAGGAGTTACCTCTTCCCGTTCTGCCTCCCTTTCCCCATAAGTCTGAGCCTGTTTCTTCTCAACATTTTCCTTGGTAAGAACTATTGTCTGCAGGGCAAGTAATGCCAGTTCATTGGGTTAATGCTTTTAGAAGTATAACACTATAAAAGTGACACATAGCAGTCCTAAAACAGCAGTTTGTCCTGCAAGATAAACATTTATGACAAACATACCTCCTCCATTAGATCACACAGCTTTCTTAATTTTGCTTCCATAAACGCAACATCTTTTGCATCTCTGTTCACATGTGGAAGAGCAATACCACCATTCTGCCTTGAACCTTGAGTGCCTTTTGCAAAATGGTTCTTGTCCAACTTTTCAAGAGGTGTATGCTGCAAGCAGAACTCTCTGAGGTGAATGCGTGTAATAAACTTATCGACTCATCAAAACAAAACAGAGGAATGCATATAAACCTATACTTGTGAAAATAACAGAATCCCACGTCAATATAATTATATTAAGAGCCGCAATTTCTAGCAGACTAACCTTAGTAAGAAAAAGTCTTTCGGCACGCTGCTGGATGGTACCTCCTGACTTCAACCCTAGAGCAGCTAGTGCCTGCCACAAAATAAGAGGTGAATATATGGTGCTTGAACAAGTATCAAGATGGAATACATATATGAGAAAAAAAAGCATGCCTCCTTTAGCCTATCAGGGCCAACTTCCTTCAATTCTTCAACCGTATTATAATAGTCAAGATTAATCACAGTATGATCCATTGGAGCACTACCATTTTCCTGATAATCATTCCCCCATCCTTCGAATTTGCCATTTGTCCACTGCTCTTCGAATTCACCAACTAGCTACAATAACAGAAGGCCAGAAGACTTCAAAAAGTAACCAAAATTCATAGCATAATTGAACTTGTAGCACGAATGCACAACTTGGGCAATAAAAATAGACTAGAAAACAACACAAACTTTGATAAATAGTTCAGACTAAACTATATTTGTTGCGGCAAAAACGGTTGAACGTGACAGGCCAAGCAAACAAACAACAAAAAAATTGTTGACGAATGACTCGCACACGGGTGACAAGAGGACGACTAACAAGTGTCCGCCGGACACTTATTATACTGTCCGCCAGAGTGCGACTAAACTCACAAACTAAAATGCCGAACATACAGTTGGTTGCGACCGCACAAACAGAAACAAGTCAAACAACCAAATACTATGTCATCAAAAACTTCAAAAATGTGGATGGACAGCAGACTGAACATGAAAACCTTCTCCCGCGGAAGTCCAAATAAAGCAAAACCAAATCAAGATTTGCGAGTGGATGAATATTGACTTGGCATACCGACAGCCTGTCAAATAAATGCAGCCCAATAAACCTCAAGACCATGACTAGTAATACACAAAGCAATGAATTCCGTAGTACCTAAATGCCAGCAAAAGTTTGTGATATGTGAAGCCAAGGGATGCAGTCTAAATCATGGACAGACCTGACAATTCCCGAAATAACAAGGGGTAGAACGATAGCAGGCTAGACAGAACCCGAACAGCAACGGGAACAAGGGAACAAATAGCCACATGGAGTAGCAACTCGAGACACACACGGCCGTCTAGTCAAAGGACAGGGGTCAGCTTTGACGGTTCAATGACCGCAAAAGAAAAAAGGAATGAGCTGGCAAAGGGAACCAGACAGGGATCTGGAGAGCGGCTACACAGGAATCTGATTTCATTGGTTTATGGCAATTGGCGGCGACTTGGCAGAGCACATAATGCACCGAATTGGATGAATAAATAGCAAGCACCGCCTGAACATATACGACTAGGTCAATTGTGGCAGTGACACCAAACCTCAGAACGAGAACTTTGGCGGCATTTTGATGCAGCTCTACAGATGTCGTGTGCTGCTGGAAAAATCAGAACGCTTGAACAACTGGAGCGACTGAAAGATGGAGAGGGAAACTACGGCTACGCGCCATCACCGGACAAACCACAGGCAGCGGCAGCTGCGAAAGAATCAAAGCAAAACTAGGGTTTTAGTTGACCAGGATTTGGCTCCAATACCATGTAGAATTTTGTGAGAAACTGAACTTGAATGTTTCATTAAACATAAACACGGTATTTATAATACTTACTACTCTAACCTAAGAACAAACCCAACAACACTGAGCCCATTTAGTAACCCTAATTACATCTGCTATACACTGCAAAGTGATGATATACTGCAGAGTTTCCGGAATACCTCAAGCAAGGTTGTTTAGCTCGAGATCTTAGCTAAGATCGGTGGATGATTAGAAGATCGTAACTTGAATTGTAGGATCCTAGTAGCTAATGTTTAATACGATCAATTTGTACATAATTTAAAAAATAAATACCCATAAATCATAATCATAACATGCAAAAGAATAAAAATAGTAATAATTTTATTACCTCCAAATAAAAACTTCAAAAGTAATTTACAAAACGAAGAGAGAACTTTTTTGAAAGAGGAGAGGGGAAGCAAGTTTTATTTCAAAATAGAGGGTAGACGCACGCAAAAGATGAGGCTTAAAGACGCACGCAAAAGACGAGGCCTAAAGACGCACGCAAAAGACGAGACGCCCCGGACTGCCCCAGCTCATCAAGAACTAGCCTCTGGTCTCCTCCCGCATTTAGGACTTCACAAAAGTACTCCCCCTAGCGCTTAGCCACATTGGCAGTCTCAACTAACACTCTACCATCGCTGCCCTTCACGCATCTCACGTGGTCCAGATCTCGGGCCTTCCTCTCACGCACCTTAGCAAGCCGGAACAGTGGGTTAACACCGCCTTTCTCAATATCCTTGTAGAGGCGTTCAAAAGCGGCATTCTTTGCCCTTGTAACCTCTAACTTAGCTTCTTTACGTGCCTTCTTGTACTCCACTCGTAACGCCGCTCTTTCCTCCTCCACATTGCAGCCCATGTACCTCAAGTATGCCACCTTCTTGGCTTCCACCTTACTTCGGACTGAATCGCTCCACCACCAATCACCCTGATGCCTACTCCCAGAGCCAGAGCTCACACCTAACACTTCCCTGGCTATTTCCCTTTCCCTGATGCAGTTAGCAGTCCACGCCCACATATCAGTAGCCTCTCCGGCCGATTTCCACGCACCTTTCTCCTGCACTCGCCTGATCAACTCAGAGATATTCTCCCCACTTAGTCTCCTCCACCTGATTTGTGTGTTGCCACTCGAAGCTCTCCTACGTTTCACCCACCTGATCATGACACCCATCACCAGAAGCTTGTGTTGGGTAGTGATGTTTTCACTCGGAATTACTTTAGCAATCCTTGCAGAGCACCCGATCACACCTGCGCAGGAGAAGATAGTCGATCTGTGTCGTCCCCACTCCACAAACAAATGTAGCCAAATGGTCATCTCGTTTAGGGAAACAAGAGTTAGCAACCACCATATCACTTGCTCTGGCAAACTCCAAGAGTGAAACTCCTACTCGGTTCCTGCTGCCAAAGCCAAAACCACCGTGCACGTCCTCGAAGCCCTCGGCCGAGTCTCCAATATGGCCATAGAAGTCGCCTCCAATGATGACTTTCTCAGTGTTAGATTTAATCGTATTGTTTAATTCCTGGCCATAAGTTAAGTTAGTTTAGATTTAAATTTTAAAAATAAAAGGGACAGTTTTGGGTAGTTATTTCTGGAAGTTATAGGTAGTTATTTCTAGAAGTTGTATTAGTTAGTAATAGATGTGTTGATTAGTACCAATAGTTGTGTTGGTTGCTGTCTATAAATACTCCAGGAAGATAGAATTCTTGTATGTAGTTCACAATAAACAAAATCAGAATTTTATTCTGCATTTGATTTGTTCTTCCTATCATTTTTCTAACAATTGGTATCAGAGCGTGTGCAATCAGCGGCAAGAAAAGGGAGATCTGAATCTTTGACAAGATTCTTCCTCGCCTAGGACAAGAATAGCAAGTGGCTATTTCTTCCTTTGGCAGAAGCATTTCAACCAAACAGTCCGGGAAAAACGAATCAGCGGGGTGGCTTTCGTTTAGTGGCTTGGAAGACGGAAAAGCAGGGGCTTGTCTTCTAGTGGATGGTCGATTGCAGGTGGCTTACGACCTAGGAAGGAATCAAAGTCTAAGAATTTTGTGAAAATTGTCATAGGAATAAAAGTCGTACAATGGGAGAACAACGAAAATAAGAAGATTGTGACTACAAGGGAGAATAGTCAACAGTTTTCCAACCTTAACCCGAGGAAGAAGATATGCAAGGTAAACTACTATTCACTAAAAGTGATGGAAAAGAGAAGGTTAAGGAGCACAAAACTGAGCATTGCGGTTGCGGGAGCTCAAACCAAGAAGACTTTGGACGTGGCCGAGGTAGAGGTCGGGGGTCCGGGAAAAGTCGGGATGGTGGACAGTTTCAGCGGGAAAAGAGTCGCATTAGGTGCTTCAAGTGCAATGAGTAAGGGCATTTTTGAACGAATGTCCAAAATGGGATCAAAAGGAAGACATTGCAAATTTGATTGAAGATGATGATGAACCAACGTTACTGTGAAGATTGGTGTGAACAAACAACGATTAGGGGGGTGATTGTTAGATTTTATCGTATTGTTTAATTCCTGGCCATAAGTTAAGTTAGTTTAGATTTAAATTTTAAAAATAAAAGGGACAGTTTTTGGTAGTTATTTCTGGAAGTTATAGGTAGTTATTTCTAGAAATTGTATTAGTTAGTAATAGATGTGTTGATTAGTACCAATAGTTGTGTTGGTTGCTGTCTATAAATACTCCAGGAAGATAGAATTCTTGTATGTAGTTCACAATAAACAAAATCAGAATTTTATTCTGCATTTGATTTGTTCTTCCTATCATTTTTCTAACACTCAGTCAGTGGAAAACGAACAACCACCCCCATCCAAGGCGTCCCAAAACTCCCTCTTTACTTTGTCTGCCAAGCCAACATGCGGGGCATAAGCACTCACGACATTGATCGCACACCCACCCAAAACCAACTTGATAAACATCAGACGATCACTAATCCTCTTCACCTCCACCACAAACTCTCGCAGCTCCGGCGCCACCAGACTCCATTGCTTCCCCTAGCTGAACCTGAATACCACAGTTTGAAACCATCAAGCTCTCGCGCATTAGTGCCCACCCACCTGGTTTCTTGCACGCATGCCACCTAAATCCTTCTCCTCTTGAGAACTTGCACCAACTCAATTGACTTACCTGTGAGGGTCCCTATGTTTCATCAGCCAAAATGCACATGGGACACTACACTACCCCTCCACAAACCTCCTACCCCTGTCCCAACCCCGGGATATGACCTTATAGCTACATTGCTAACCCACGCCACTACACCTACACAACAGCACCAAAAAGCAAAGCAGAGACGAGACTACTAACACAAAAACAATAGGTACGAACCACTGCTAAAGAAGGTAAGAGCAACAATACAAATAACAGTAAAAGAGTACGGTAGTAGCACAAGTAGTTAGCAATCAAAGCAACACCTTAACACACACACTAGAAGGAGACGGAAGAAGCCACAGTGGAGCAATAACAGCAATCAAATCACAAATCACATAAGAGCGTTAAAATAGCAGTAAAAGCAATAAGAACACGGAGAAGGTTTGGGGCAGGAAGGGCTGGTGATGGAGCAAGGGTGTGGGACTGTAGCTAGAGTGTGGTGAGGGTGGGGGCTGGGTTGTGTACTGACTAGGGGCTTGGGGGTGGT